GCTGGGTTTCCATGTTTTATGGGGACTTTCCATAGAAATACTGATTTTTAATCTGTACAAACTGTATATTCAATCCCCTAATCATAACTGATGTATTTTAACAAAGTGAACTATTGAGTATTTCTATACATTTCATGTTGACAGCATTATGTTATTTATTGTTTAAGTGTTATATTTATCTCTGGATAAAGGGTTAACCCTTGTGTTATCTTCATTTGGGGCCGACACTAGTTATCTTTGGGGTCTCCAGGGACCCCAGACAATAACATTTAATTTTGTAACACAATAATAGTTTTTTGTTTTTTTTTTGTTTTTTACAAATATAATTTTACTGTAACTTTTTATATATTTTTAAATTTCTATAAATAAATATTTATTTAAATAGGCTTTTTACAAAAAAACAGCATTTTATGTAAAATTCACTTTATAAAAGACCCAGATTTCTGACTTTCATTCATGGGGATAACATGGATAACTTTATATGGTTTAATGTAAGATTTGTGCCCATTTTTTTGGAAAATGCAGTTTTAAAATAAAAAATTATAATTTTAACCACTAGATGGCTATTGAGCTCCACTATTTGCTATTCGACTAACTAAATATATCTTTTCACAAGTTGGATTCAGTTGGATTCATACCTAAATATTATAAAATCACAATTATAACAAAAATAAAATACTTTTGTCAAAGTTTAGCATTTTTGTACTGAAATTTTTTTTTCAATAATGTTATGATTAGATTCAAACCTGAACAATGTTACAAAGATACATTTTTAGATTTTATCCTTTATTTCAATCGTCTGTTTTTAATATAATTCAAAAATTTTAATCAACATTTCAGTTACTAACTAACAGAACAAAAATTAACAGAAATGAACAGTTATATTAATTACATATTGAGTAAAAATACATGACATGAACATGAACAGCAATAACAAATTAGTTTTTCATAGCCTTACAAATGTATTCCTTTGTGTGTGAGTGTGAGTGTGTGTGTGTGTGTGTGTGTGTGTGTGTGTGTGTGTGTGTGTGTGTGTGTGTGTGTGTGTGTGTGTGTGTGTGTGTGTGTGTGTGTGTGTGTGTGTGTGTGTGTGTGTGTGTGTGTGTGTGTGTGTGTGTGTGCACATTTTCAATGTGTCAGTGTCACCAATTTATTTTTGTTATGTTTCTGCATTTTGGATGATTTTATTTTACAAATGATAAGAGAACAGTTTTTATACGTATATATATATATTAATATGTATATATTTCTGTCTGTGTGTTCTGCGTTGTTTCTGATTTTGTATTTTTACTAGTGCTGGGCAACGATAAAAAATTTTTATCACGATTAATCGCATGATCTTCTTGTGATTAATCATGATTAATCGCGATTAATCGCGTTGTTATGCGCAAAATTGAATAATGAATTCTAAAGTAGTGTTTTGCGCACTTTTGATTTAAATGTACTGCTACAAAAGTGCAATAACATGTGGTTTGCAAAAACTTTAAACAAATAAGGTGCTTTTATACCAGCAGTATTCCCTTTACACAGTATCAATAAAATATTTCTTGTAAATCTCAACTTAAACATTAATGTAATCAAATCAAATATTTAAACAAAGCTATTTGCCACTGCCAGGGCATTACCTTTTATCTAGCTGGTTAAAACGAGTCCTGTTTTCTTGTGTGTTTTTTTCTGAACAGGTATCTTGTATCAGGGAGCAGCAGAAACAGTCTAGTCAAAGGGTCATGATCACTACTACTGATATAAGTCGACCAATGTTACTTCTCTGATAGCAGCTTAGGTTTGGTCATGGCATGCCATGGTTTCCCACGTAAGATTACATTAAACAGAGGTAAAGCCCAATTTATACTTCTGCGTCGAACTCACGCCGTAGCTGTGTAGCGCGCGTACCCTGACGTGCATCTCTCCAAAAATGTAACGTCAATTCTACGCGTACCGCAAGCGCTGTGATTGCTAGAACCGCTCCCCGGGTTTCACACTCTCCCTCTGCATGTGTAATTGCGACGATTACAACGACGCAGATATATAAATGAAAACCAACGCGTAGTCTATAGCGTAGAGGCTCCGGCGTAAGTCCGACACAGAAGTATAAATCATTCAGCCTAGAGTGAGGTGAAGTGGTCGAGCACAGGTGCAGCGACAAGCGGGTGCGTTCCTGTGAAACTGTTGCGGTCATGCTCGCCTCACGCACGCGCGTTGCCGAAGTTGAATTGTTTAACTTTTTTGTACACGACGCGCAGCACAAATCATTGGAAGAGAGACTGATCCTCGGCTCGCTGTTTGTGAGTTTCCAGAATCTAAATAGGAGGGAGGGAATTCACAACAGGAGGGAATTCACATGGCAGAGCATCCCCGCTAAACTAAACGCAGGCCTATCAGGTAAAGTTATGTATAATTTTAATTTAAGTTAAAAAGGCTACAGTTGCATAGCGCACAGAAGCCGTTTCCATGGTTACTATCCATAGAGCGCCTGTCATTCACTCGCGGAGCGCTGTCTCCCTTTCTGTTCACCTGAGAGAACCTGCCAAAGCCTCTCCACTGCTGGTTTGGGTGGGTTATTTGCTGGCTGACCAACATCCCACCCCTCCTGTGATCATGGTTTGACTGTAGGCCTATGTGTATTCAGAGCCAGTGAGCAACGGACTTTCAAAAAAAAAAAGAAAAAAAAAAACTCTGCGTTAACGCGCGATAAAAAAATTGTCGGCATTAATTAATAACGCGTTAACTTGCCCAGCACTAATATATATATATATATATATATATTTAAATAGGCTTTTTTACAAAAAAACAGCATTTTATGTAAAATTCACTTTATAAAAGACCCAGATTTCTGACTTTCATTCATGGGGATAACATTGATAACTTTATATGGTTTAATGTAAGATTTGTGCCCATTTTTTCTTAACCACTAGATGGCTATAGAGTTCCACTATTTGCTATTCGACTAACTAAATATATCTTTTCACAAGTTGGATTCAGTTGTATTCATACCTAAATATTATAAAATCACAATTATAACAAAAATAAATTACAATTTTGTCAAAGTTTAGCATTTTTGTACTGAAAAATGCTTTTCAATAATGTTATGATTAGAATCAAACCTGAACAATGTTACAAAGATACATTTTTAGATTTTATCCTTTATTTCAATCGTCTGTTTTTAACCCTTGTGTTATGTTGCGGGTCAATTTTACCCGTTTCGATTTTCAAGTTGTTGGAAATACTGGTTAACCTTTGTTTTTTTTCTTGATATTTTGTGACTTTTTCTCATTTATCATGATGAACATGCATGCAAAGTTTCAACATGCTGATGTGTTTTGACATATACAAACAAAATTACTGTTACGTTCATGATGTTCGTGGGTCAATTTGACCCTCATAGACAGCCATTCAAAAGCAACTGTACAGACACAAAATAAAAACATTTATTTTCTGTATGTCAGGGCACTTCAACTCCAGTTCTAACGTGCAAGTGCATCTAAAAGTGCTCTAACCCTAACCAAACACACTTGAAAAAGCTAAAATTACAGTGTTCAGAATTATTTGCAAATTACAGATGAAAATCTTTGTCAGACACAGATAGTAAAATAAGCTCTCATTTCAATATTCAAAATATCTATATACCTAGTTTTTAACCAAAACTTTTATGTAGGATTTTCAAAGGCAGCTTTACAGAGCCAAAAATAAATAAAAAACATTTATTTGTTGTATGTTTTTGTTATGTTTGGTTTCTCACTTCCCAGTGAGTGAATAATGAAACTAGGAAAATAGGTCTTAGGAAACTATGGAAAGTTAACTTAGGAAAATGAAAAATTTTCATTATACAGCAATTTTTTTGTTCAGTTACGATGTTCAAAGCATAAAATGTAAAAAAAAAAAAAAAAAAAAAAAAATCAGTATACTGTTTATTTTTCAATTTTGTCAAAACAAAACTGTTTTAAAAAATGTTTTAAAAACATTTTCATAAATCATATTTTCAGATATAATGTTTTTGTAATGTTTGACAAATGTTGATATTAAAAGTTTACAGTTTGTATCTAAATCTTTGTTGTTTTTCATAGTGTGATTTTTGAGGAATTGTATTGAGTCCAATTAGGGTCAATTTGACCCGGTCCATAAGGGGTGTACACAGAAATCGAACAGAACACAAGGGTTAATATAATTCTAAAATTTTAATCAACATTTCAGTTACTAACTAACAGAACAAAAATTATTAGAAATGAACAGTTATATTAATTACATATTGAGTAAAAATACATGACATGAACATGAACAGCAATAACAAATTAGTTTTTCATAGCCTTACAAATGTATTCCTGTGTGAGTGTGTGTGTGTGTGTGTGTGTGTGTGTGTGTGTGTGTGTGTGTGTGTGTGTGTGTGTGTGTGTGTGTGTGTGTGTGTGCACATTTTCAATGTGTCAGTGTCACCAATTTATTTTTGTTATGTTTCTACATTTTGGATGATTTTATTTTACAAATGATAAGAGAACAGTTTTTATAGTCTCAAAAATGTATTACAAATGTAAAATGTATATATTTCTGTCTGTGTGTTCTGCGTTGTTTCTGATTTTGATGATGAATTTTGTATATTTACTATGCGGGGTCTCCAGGGACCCGAAGACAACTAGTGTCACTATTTTTTTCACGCTAACATTTTGAAGGAGTTACACCGCACTCACGATCTTCAAGGTTTCAGACACACAAGACAAAAGACATGCCCTGAGGATGGTCTTTTGACCGAAAGCTTGGTCTATTAAATTTGCTCTAAGGATTTGAGTGTGCAGACAGTTTATTTATTGAGATCTTTCACGCTAACATAAAAACAGAAATCATTACAATTTTTTTATATATTTTTTTTTTAGATCTAGAAAGTGTTGAGAGCCGTAGAAAGTTTCATACCATTTGGACAAAGAGAATTATTTGAGCAAAAGTCATTTGCGGGTTAAAAAGACCCTGAAGAAAACCAGAGGCTTAATGTGTGTCATTGTTCTCTACAGGTTGAGGGATTGTGGAGTCACAGATGAAGGTTGTGTTGCTCTGGCTTCAGCTCTGAGATCAAACCCCTCACACCTGAGAGATCTGAGTCTGTCTGAGAATAAACTAGGAGACTCAGGAATAAAGCATCTTTCTGATCTACTGGAGAATCCTCTCTGTAAACTGGAGAGACTGTGGTAAGACCATCTCTACCATAAAGACTCTGAGTGAATAAGGATTAATATGTAGATAGTGTGTACAATATATGTGTGGCGTAAGCCCCATCCGGCGGTTCAGCGACAGATTCCTGCTTGAAGCGTCAGATCCTGCCGGCGGTAGAAGACAGCGGTGAGAGTCTCCCTGAAGAGGAACATCTACATCTCAGTAGGGCTGCACAATTAATCGAACTTCTAATCGCGATTACGATTATGGATGCCACGATTACGTAATCGTTCAAAGCCGCGATTAAAGCCACTTACATTATTCTGGGTGGTGTGTTTAGAGCATGTTATGTTGTGAGAGGCGAATCACGACTACTTCAGAGAACCCAGCACAATAGGAACTCCCAGAGACGTAAGTGTAGGCCTACGCTAAAACAAAAACTCTCACCTCAGAAAAACGGCTTTCCTGTCCTGTCAGCCTCTACACTGCAGTAGCGCACTCTTCAGTTACACGCGCACATGGGGCGGAGCGCGCTTATCGCTTCACTAGGCTATATATAAAGAAAAAAATAATAATAATCCTATCAGTCAAATTCATCTTTACTTTGTTTATTTTGTGTTATTTTTGAGAAAGAAGAATCACTCCATCACATACAAAAGGAACAATTACACTTAATGCGACCAGTTTGAAATAATGGTGACACTTTATCACAAGTATACAGTAACACAGCGCTTACAAATCATTTGCAAACTATTAGTTTATAGTTCACGAATAGTATATAAGCTGTTGTTAAATTAATTATTAATAGATTGTATTATTATTATTATTATTAGACTATATACAAATAATTGGGTGCCGATACTATAAGTGTTGTGATTTTTAAGAATAGCGATTCTACAATATTGTGATTCGATATTGCAATGTATTGTGGTTTGTTTTTAACACTAGACTATGGAGAAAAGTTAAATCATACACTTATACAGACTGTACATGATGAATAAGATGAGTCATATTTATAAAAACAATTCATCACATCACTCAGTTTTATTTCAGGAGCATCATACAGTAATACACTCTCTTGAATAAATAATTCAATAAATACATTTTTTAACAGTCACTTGTCGCCACCTAGTGGCAAAACAATGTAATTGATAAATGCATTATTTTAACGCATGATTCAACCGATGATTTTGTCAAAGGTTTAATAGACAGACGAATTGGAAGAAGATCGTAAAACAGTAAACAAAAAAATTGCGATAGTTTGGTGAATATTTTTTTCTCCCAGCCCTAACACACACACACACACATTCCTTTAAATGTTTACAAATACATTAAGCAAACACACACACACACACACACATTCCTTTAAATGTTTACAAATACATTAAGCACACAAACACACACACACACACACACACACACGTTCCTTTAAATGTTTACAAATACATTAAGCACACAAACACACACACACACACACACACGTTCCTTTAAATGTTTACAAATACATTAAGCACACACACACACACACACACGTTCCTTTAAATGTTTACAAATACATTAAGCACACAAACACACACACACACACACACACACACACGTTTTCCATGTTTTATGGGGACTTTCCATAGAAGTGATTTTTATACTGTACAAACTGTATATTCAATCCCCTAATCATAACTGATGTATTTGAACAACATGAACTAATGAGTATTTGTATATATTTCATATTGACAGCATTGTGTTATTTATAGTTTAAGTGTTGTGTTTATCTCTGGATAAAGGCTTAATGTGTGTCATTGTTCTCTACAGGTTGTGGGATTGTGGAGTCACAGATGAAGGTTGTGTTGCTCTGGCTTCAGCTCTGAGATCAAACCCCTCACACCTGAGAGAACTGCATCTGTCTGTGAATAAACTAGGAGACTCAGGAATAAAGCATCTTTCTGCTCTACTGGCGAATCCTCTCTGTAAACTGGAGACACTGAGGTAAGATCATCTCTACCATAAAGACTCTGAGTGAATAAGGATTAATATGTAGATAGTAGGGGTGTGACGAGATCTCGTCGAGTGAAAAGCTGTCTCGCGATATGGCCATGACTGAACGTGAGATTACCATAGAATATTCCACCGCTACACTCACATTCGCCTAAACTATCGTTTTGTTGTTTTTATAAAAAAAAAAAAAAACATTATAAACTAATGTAAAAGTCTGCTCTGCTCATCCAGCGCGAGTTGCCGTTGCAATCAGTGCCGCACGAATCACAGTTCACTGATCGCGTGACGATGGCGGAGGATTCGTTGCGCAACATAGACTAACGTCTGATACATGTCTAATCTTGTAGAGTGTGCGCTCAGCACCGCTGCTCCCTATACACGAATCCGACGAGCGTTCTGTGTAGGCTGCCATCTTGTGGCGACGCCATTACTGAGCTGTTAGCGGTATGTAAACAAACCTCCGTGATAACGCACCCTCGATGACAGCTACAGCCAGGCAGAATGACTTGTTGGGTTGATGATGTTAGACAGTGGCCTCCAGTCACAGATGAAGGTACAAACGATCTTACAGATTATTTATGAAAATAGCTTGGCAAGCTAGCTAGGCTAACGTTAGCTAACGAGGAAACTATAAAAAGATCTGTCCATTTGGCAACAATAAATAAATGAATGACATCAAATAAACGAATTCATGTTTTTCATTTGTGTCCATTATTTATCTCATTTTCACATTGCAAAAGGCAAGGGTAAGGTACAGGTAGAAAGTATTCATAATATCGACCAATTAGTGTTTTTAAACCATGGAAAGCGGTCAATATAACAGCAGGAGAACAATTATGTCACATAACGTTACATTTAGCTCAGGAAAGCCATTTAATGACCATAGCATGTTAATTGAATAGAAAAAATAGCTAGAGAGGAGATTTTGCTGAGCACTATATTACATATTTATTATATTTTTTACTTATGTCATTAAATAATTGTTATTATAACAAAAACTGCATTATATTTAATTTAATTTGTTAGTTTAATTTGTTATTTTAAAAAAATTCTGTCACAGTCAAGCAAATCAAACATTAACAACAGACATAACAGTAATGTTACTAACGTCACTGCCCCAATGCGCCCTTTACTGCCGCCATTGAAACAATTTAAACCGGAACATGTTTTCCCACTCGACATTATAAAAGTTGTAACGTTAGTGACAGTCGTAAATCGCGGGCTGTTTATTCCAGTGGACGCAAGTTGCAACTAAAACAATAGGAGGCAATGGCGCAACGCTACCCAGCAACAGCTCAGTTATGGCGCCCGCTTACTTCCGGTAGTTTCGCCGGATTCGTCTATACACAGAGTACGCGCGGTCACGAATTTGAAAGTGAAGGGTAAAACACAAGCTCCCTGATGTGCATTGCGCACAAATTAGGCTGCATATACATACAATAGTCTGTCTCCCAATACCCATCTCTGGACTGTTTATTTGCGGCTATGGTCTCAGTTTGCACTGTGAATATTGAGAGAGTACTGTAACGTATAAAGGACAACAGACAATTGAGGCTCCGTTTCTGAACTTATAATGGGAACGCAAGAACAACTGTAGAGACAAACACACCAGCCTCGTTTCTCTCTACCTATACCTATAACTGCTGGTGCAAAATAAAACCGCAATTTCACAACAATTATAAAGAGTCTGTGTGCTAACTTTGATTATGGTTGCACTTGCACTTATTGTTTGCACTTAATAAGACTAAGAGAAAACTGTTATTTATTTTTGTTATTTATACTGTTTTTATTTCTCTGTTAAATGTGTGTTAAGGAGTTCAGTTAGGAGGTCACACACAGCCTCAATCAGAAGTTCTGAAAGCTCTTAAATGTACAGTAAGGTCTGAAGAGACTAATGTGAAATCATACAGGAGAAAAGCCAGTCAATAAAAACCCTTTACAGTGCTTGTATATTGTTTTCTTTCAATGCTTTTGATAATTCATACTCATAAAGTAGACCTGAAATGACATGCATTAGAAGATTATTAGTTAAAACATTGAAAAATGCACCTGCATACAATTTTTCCAGTCATGAATTTCGTCATTGAGGATTTCTGAAAAATTGTGCAAAAATCTCGTCTCGTCTCGTTCTCGTGAGATAAGCGTCTCGTCACACCCCTAGTAGATAGTGTGTACAATATATGTGTGGCGTAAGCCCCATCCGGGGTTAAAAATAATAATAATGCTATCAGTCAAATTCATCTTTACTTTGTTTATTTTGTGTTATTTTTGAGAAAGAAGAATCACTCCATCACATACAAAAGGAACAATTACACTTAATGCGACCATTTTGAAATAATGGTGACACTTTATCACAAGTATACAGTAACACAGCGCTTACAAATCATCCGCAAACTATTAGTTTATAGTTCATGAATAGTATATAAGCTGTTGTTTAATTATTACTAGATTGTATTATTATTATTATTATTAGACTATAAACAAATAATTGGGTGCCGATACTGTCACGGGTCTATGAAGGAGGACTCAAATGCAGAACGAGTGTTAACAGGTTTATTGACAAACAGCAGACAGAAGACTGGATGTGGTGGGAGAGGTGAACAGTCCAGACAATAGGCAGGGATGAGACACAATGACAGCCGTAGTAACTAGCCGAGCAGCACTTGTAACTAGCAAGATGACTGGAAGCCGGAGAGTAGAAATGGCAGAGCAGAATGAGACCTCAGAATACTAGCAGTAGCCAGACAGGAACTTGTAAGTACTCCAGCAAGGCACTCAGGGATCTCAGGCTCAGCACAGGCTTCCTCCAAAGCCAAGAGTGTAAGCAGTCAGGGACACTCTGCTAGCAGGACTGGAACTAGAGACACAGAAGACAAGACAGACAGGACCGATGGCAGAACTAAAGCACAAAATACTTCTACAAATAAAACACTGTAGACTTTAGTCACAAGAAACAAACTATGTAGCACAGTAGTACAACATCTAACGAACTGGCAACACATGAGGGAAAGAGCACACACATAAAGGGAGTTAACAAGAGTAACAGGTGAGAACACTTAGACAAGGACCAGGTGAACACACTCACGTAAACGAGGACTGAAACAAGGGAGCAGAGAACATGAGGAACAGATGACAACACTCAGACAAACGAGGACTCAACTAGACAAGAGGGCGTGGTACAGGGAAACAAGGAGGCAGGAACAGAGGAGCACATGGCCAACACAAACACAACCATACGTTCAAGCACAACACAAACATAGAGACATGAAACAAAGACAACACAGACAAAGCTGCCAGAGCAAGACCCTGACAGATACTAGAAGTGTTGTGATTTTTAAGAATAGCGATTCTACAATATTGTGATTCAATTTTGCAATGTATTGTGATTTGTTTTTAACACTAGACTATGGAGAAAAGTTAAATCATACACTTATACAGACTGTACATGATGAATAAGATGAGTCATATTTACAAAAACAATTCATCACATCTCTGAGTTTTATTTCAGGAGCATCATACAGTAATACACTCTCTTCAATAAATAATTCAATAAATACATTTTTTAACAGTCACTTGTCGCCACCTAGTGGCAAAACAATGTAATTGATAAATGCATTATTTTAACGCATGATTCAACCGATGATTTTGTCAAAGGTTTAATAGACAGACGAATTGGAAGAAGATCGTAAAACAGTAAACAAAAAAATTGCGATAGTTTGGTGAATAATTTTTTTCTCCCAGCCCTAACACACACACACACACACACACACACATTCCTTTAAATGTTTACAAATACATTAAGCACACACACACACACACACACACACACACACACACACACACACACACACACACACGTTCCTTTAAATGTTTACAAATACATTAAGCACACACACACACACACACACGTTCCTTTAAATGTTTACAAATACATTAAGCACACACACACACACACACACACACACACGTTCCTTTAAATGTTTACAAATACATTAAGCACACACACACACACACACACGTTCCTTTAAATGTTTACAAATACATTAAGCACACACACACACACACACACACACACGTTCCTTTAAATGTTTACAAATACATTAAGCACACAAACACACACACACACGTTTTCCATGTTTTATGGGGACTTTCCATAGAAATGATTTTTATACTGTACAAACTGTATATTCAATCCCCTAATCATAACTGATGTATTTGAACAACTTGAACTAATGAGTATTTGTATATATTTCATATTGACAGCATTATGTTATTTATAGTTTAAGTGTTGTGTTTATCTCTGGATATAGGCTTAATGTGTGTCATTGTTCTCTACAGGTTGAGTGGTTGTGGAGTCACAGATGAAGGTTGTGTTGCTCTGGCTTCAGCTCTGAGATCAAACCCCTCACACCTGAGACATCTGGATCTGTCTGTGAATAAACTAGGAGACTCAGGAATAAAGCATCTTTCTGCTCTACTGGCGAATCCTCTCTGTAAACTGGAGACACTGAGGTAAGATCATCTCTACCATAAAGACTCTGAGTGAATAAGGATTAATATGTAGATAGTGTGTACAATATATGTGTGGCGTAAGCCCCATCCGGGGTTAAAAATAATAATAATGCTATCAGTCAAATTCATCTTTACTTTGTTTATTTTGTGTTATTTTTGAGAAAGAAGAATCACTCCATCACATACAAAAGGAACAATTACACTTAATGCGACCAGTTTGAAATAATGGTGACACTTTATCACAAGTGTACAGTAACACAGCGCTTATAAATCATTCGCAAACTATTAGTTTATAGTTAATGTATAGTATATAACAGTATATAAGCTGTAGTTAATGTATGAATCAGTATTACTAGATTATATTATTATTATTAGACTGTATACAAATAATTGGGATAAATGTCTCGTCTCTCTTTCAGTATATGAGCAGCGCGAGGGCTTTCAGTGACTCAGTCCAGTGTTGACAACTATGTTCAGAGGAAAGTAGCTAACGCCTTCCCTAAGGGGCTGTTCACACCTGGCCACTTCAAGCGTTTTCTGTGATGGGATAGCTATCCGATCGTGAAGAGACCAGGTGTAAATGCCCTGCGAAACACATTCCAGACGGATCCGATCGCTCAAACCACTTCAGGAGGAGGTCTGAGACCGTTCCAGACCAAACTGGACAAGTGTAAATGCATCTGGTTGTTGAATCCACATATGTACATTTTACTCCTCCCAAAAATGCTAAAAAATAAACATGTGAGAGCGTGTTATAGGCTTATGTCATGTTCTAGCCAGATAAGACTTGTTTGTTTCCACATATGTTAGAGCGAGAGAGAGAGACGGCAGGGAGAGAGCAAGAGCTCGCGCTCGCACCACTGACAGCATTTGGGGGTCACTGAGGTTTGACCAGAGAGACGCTAGATTTGTCGCTAGTCGCTTTTAAAAACAAAAATCACTAAAGGGGTCTGAAAAGTCTCTATAATAGTGACAAAGGCTCTGGGTTTAACACTGATTCAGTCTCACGCCGCTTCCACACGTCCACTAGACAGGGATATTACGACACTCATAGATAACCACACGCTTCAGCCTCTGTTGGAGCAAGAGTGGCTAACTTCTGTCAACCTCGGCTATAAGCAAGGAAGAAAATAAAGCCATTTCAATTGAATCAATATTGATTCTGGAATAAAAATAATACATTTCAGATCGTAAACAAAAAAAATCGTGATAGTTTGGAGAATTTTTTTTTTTCTCTCCAGACCTAACACACACACACACACACACTCCTTAAAATGTTTACAAATACTTTAAGCACACACACACACTCCTTAAAATGTTTACAAATACATTAAGCACTCACACAGACACACACACACACACACGTTAGGTTTCCATGTTTTATGGGGATTTTCCATAGAAATATTGATTTTTATACTGTACAAACTGTATATTGAATCCCCTTATCAATAAATCCCTAATCTGTGTATCATTCGTTCACTCATTTTTTTATTTAATATTGAAAGTATAAAAAGTATTCTTTTTTTTTTTTTCAAAATGAAAAACAAGAATTAATTTTGATTTTTCGTGTTTCGTTCTCAGGTAGAAACATTAATAACGGCTTGAATATTGGATTTCTACACGCGGGCGGGAATGAAACGCCCCTTTCCTCTGATTTATCAGCCGGAGATCAAACTGTGTCGTTTTTGGGCAAAATTAAAAACACTAAAAAGGAACCGTTTTCTCATTTTTCTACTTTCAATATAAAAAATAAAAAATAAACTGTACGACTGATACACAGATTCAAACTGATGTATTTGAACAGCATGTACTAATGAGTATGTGTATATATATTATTTTAAGTGTTGTGTTTATCTCTGGATATAGGCTTAATGTGTGTCATTGTTCTCTACAGGTTGAGTTATTGTGGAGTCACAGATGAAGGTTGTGTTGCTCTGGCTTCAGCTCTGAGATCAAACCCCTCACACCTGAGACATCTGGATCTGTCTGGGAATAAACTAGGAGACTCAGTGAAGCTGCTGGAGGATCTGAGGGATGATCCACATTATAAACTGGAGACACTACTGTAAGAATAGTTCTTAACGATTTTCATCATATTTTCATTTAAAGTTTAAATGGCTGATTTTCTCACTAGAAATAATTGTAAAGGTTCAGTGTGTGTGTGTGTGTGTGTGTGTGTGTGTGTGTGTGTGTGTGTGTGGGAATATTGTGTCTGAGATCATCAGATAATAAATCTTAAATTCAGTTTCTGTATTGTTAGGTAGTTGTTACATGCCTTGGTGTGTGTGTCTGTGTGTGTATGAGAGTATGCTGATTTGGTGGACAGGTTTGTGTGTGTGTTTAGAGAGAGACACACTGAGTAAGATATACATCGTGAAGCAAACCACCAAAATAACAGTCGTCGCAGAATACACATTTAGTGATTTTATGGCGCTTCAGATTTGGTTTCTGTGCCGCTTCTTCTGTGTAAAGCCTTATGTGTGTGATAATCTGAGATTTGGGTTGTGTGTTATTAACTGATGTCAAATGTGTAGTGAGTGTAATGATGATTTCTGCTGGTTCTGGATCAGCTGTCCGGTGTGTGAAAGTGACCTTTCATGTGCTTTTGATTCTGTAAAGTGACTTTGAGCATCAGATAGAAGCTATATTATCATGTTTGAGAATGAATTAATATAGATTATCTAGTTAGTTTTCTTATGTAAAGATGTGACAGATGTAATATCTCATACTGCATATGTGACTGTGTGTGTGTTTTATTTTAGGGTATAGAGGACAGTCTGATCTTCTGCTGATCATCTGATGGTGAATAAGGATCCACTACAGAGACTCACAGTTAGCGATGGCCCGATACCGATACTGGCATCGGGGATCGGGTCGATACTGTCCTAATATACTCGTACTCGTACTCATAAAAATTCGCCGATACCACGCACCGATACCACGTACATTTTGCAAAACGAAACTGGCCGCCGCGAGTGCTTTGTCGAGGTGAACTGAGGCATAGGAAAGTATAATGTCGGCGGTTTGGGCTCATTTCAAGATAAGGGATGATGACAACAGCAAGGCAGACTGTGAGTTATGTTCAGCTAAGGTGTCGAGAGGAGGGAAAGAAAGTACATCGTTTAACACCAGCAATCTAATTAAACATCTGAAGACGCATCATAGATCTGATGGCCGAGCGCGCGCGCGGGCGGTAATGCACTCACTCTGTGTGTGCGGGTTACGGGAGAATAAAACGATTCGCGGGACTCCCGCAAACTAGAAATATCTATGAATAAAACATAAAAACTAAAAGATTTTTATTCATCTCTTGCAGAAAAGCAACAAGAACAACTACAACAAAATAGAAACGATTTACAGGCCAGAGTTTCTATTCATAACATGGTTACAGCGTTGAGCGATGTAGCCAATCACAGACATATGTGTTGATTTCTGGAACGCAATGGCCAATCAGAAGCATTTAAGATAGACTCCCCTCACCGCTCAAAACTGACTTTTTTGTTCAGTGCTGAATTCTGTATGCTGGCAAATCCTCTAATTATAACAAACAAAGTGTGGATATTATGAAAGATTGATTGTGCAGTCAGCTTCATTGATAATAACAGAGATGTGTGAGATCGCGATGAACTGTCAGCTTTTAGGGATTATTAAGGGAGCGCACTTTGCGCGCATTCAGTCATGCCAGACCATGCACGCAGTAGCCTGCTTGCTTTTATGTTAAATTAACAGTGGTTTGTGTGTTAATAGATTTATTATTTTACTAATTTTTATTTATTTTTAGACTTGTTAAAACAAGCAGAGAAGAAATTAAAACAGTCTTCTAACCTGTGTTCTAAAATAGTCGTCTTGTTTTCTGGGAGCCTATTACTTTTGCGGTAGAAATATCGGTATCGGCAAGTACACAAATGCAAATACTCGTACTCGTATCGGTTTGGAAAAAAAATGGTATCGGGCCATCCCTACTCACAGTCAACAGAATCAACAGAGACTGAAGATACAGTGACTTCACTGTTATAAATTAAGACTTCATTTAGATTTCAACGATCCTCTGACAGACCTGATGAGGCGGCAGTGAAACACCTTTTATTTCACAGCAAATTACACTTTCTCATTCATAGATTAACCATTTTATTTGTATAAACACACAGTATAAACTCACAAATGTTGGAGTAAATATAGAGCCTGAATGTGTTTGTGTTGAACCAGCAGAGGGAGACAAACACTAATGAAAGATTCATTTTTAATAATTATGAGAAGATAAAACAGTTCAAGCTCACTTTTAGAAAACAATGGAAGATTGAGTTCAAACATCTTGTTTTTAATAATAGTTGTATTACATTTGTATTAATGTATTAAAGGTGTCATATGATGCATTTTCATGTTTTCTTTGTCTTTAGTGTGTTATGTTGCTGTTTGTGTGTGTATAAGATCTGCAAACTTACAAAGCTCAAAGTCTCCTACAGAAAGATTTATCATATCTAATGTCCGACACACACTGTATGATTCTGTTCCAGACGAAAGATGACCAAGCCTTTTCCTCATATGAGTGAGGTCTGAGATGTCCTGAACTGCTCACCGTAGTACGAACGGCTATTCAGTTCGACTGTGTGTTTAAATTGGGAAATGCTGTCTACACACTAGCTTATAGATTACAGTAAGACTAACATATTCATGCTAAAAGAGAGACCCCTCAGTTCCTCAATGTGGAAGAGCTCCACTATTATCCCTGTCCCAAACCAGCTTTGCTGTGAGGAGAATAATGATGATCCTCCAGTAGCGCTCGCTTCTACAGTAATGAAGTGTTTGGAGAAAATGATGATTAATGTAGTAAAAACAGCGGTCAGTGTCTATCAGAGCCATTTCACTGTGCATACAGGAGCAATAGAAGCACAGATGATGCGGTTATAGCTATAACACACTTTATAAACAGGCATTTAGAGGATCCGAGCTCGTACGCACGTCTGATATTTCTAGATCTGAGTTCAGCTGTTAATATGCTG